ATGTTTCCCTTTTAGAGCGCTGTCATTCAGAGCAACATAAAAGGAAATGGAAATAGTTCTTGTGACGGTTCTCGTCCACGACAGAAATATAGTCGAAACCCACTGGTGCAAACGATCCATTATGTTAGCAAATTATAAGCAACAAGTTACGTTGGCACAAGTCAATAAGCGATTTAGGGGACAAGAATCGAAAAAAGTTTCCCTAATGCTGATAACTTGTATGTAATAATTATTACAACCCGCCCCCCTCATAGATGACAACTTTTACTTACACTCCCCTCCCATGTTTAAAGGCTGTGCGCATGCATACGTGTTGTGTGACCATTGTTTTCAGATGGTTTATCACGTGTAATGATACAAGTGCTGTAATTAGCACTTCTCCCCCTAACGAAAACTACCCACCCCTTCCTATGTATTAATTTTTGATGAGTAAGAATTATATATTTTGACAAAATTCACCTACCCACCCTCCCAAAAAGAAAAAACTACCTACACTCCCCTCCTTAAGGAGGAACATATGATTAACCATTTCCCCTGACAAAACTACCTACCTGCCCACCCCATGCTATGTATTGATTTTCGATGAGTAAGAATTATATATTTTGACAAAATTCACCTACCCACCGCTCCCAAAAAGAAAAAAAACTACCTACCCCCAACCCACCTACCCCTCCCTGAGGCAGACCATGTGATAAACCACCCCCCTGACAAAACTGCCTACCCACCCCTTAAACAATAGTCCAAAATTCAGTCCAAGAAATAGTCCAAAAAATAGTCCAAAAAATAGTCCAAAAACTAGTCCAAGGGTCCAATGGTCCAGTCCATATTTTACCCTATGCCGCCACATGCCGTATAATGCTGTCCTTAAACAAACAAAGGCTAACCGCAAGCAAACATGAGTGAAACTACTAAACCGAAAGCAAACAGTGCATTTGGCGTACGGCGTGCTGCGTTCTGCGTTCTGCAAAATAACCCTGCCGTGTTTGAACTAAAATGTCAATGGAGTATTGGTTTACTTCAGAGCCTGAAATATGCCCTGCCATAACAGTAATTATGCACCAGTACGTATCAGTCCTGAAAGCAGTCATTACCACTCATTAGCATTGCCTGGGGATATTTGCTGATATTGTTCTGGTGTTTTGTTGACCGTCCTTTTCGTTTGATGTTTGTATAAACCTTGCCAAACATTCAGTCCACTAAGAAGTAAAAGCGTGTTTTCTAACTGATTTTATCGAGAGTCCTTCAAAGCCTAACAGCGAAAATTGGTTTGTATTATGCAAGAAACTGCACGTTTCCATACGATTGATAATGCGTCTGCCATTTTATGGGTGTAACTCATATTGTTAAGTGAAGACGGAATAAAAAGTCAGACGCTTGTGTGAAAACAGATCCTATCAAGGTCGGATTAATTATAAATAGTAATTAGTCCTATTATTTTAATTCAGCACAAGAGTGGTCCAACGAAGAGAACTGTTAGCCCAGCACTTTCAATACATTATAGCCTGCGGGTATGGTAATTAGTCATGATTCACTGGAGAACTGTTCTTCAAATAATATCATTTATGCGTACGTAAATATAGGCTCAGGTAACGTCTGCATACGAGCCAAGTGGCCCATAAGGCCGATGCTTATCTCCTGTTTCTGAAGCATGAAGGGACTAGGAGTATTTCTACTCCCCCCTAAATGGGATGCTAGTCCATCGCAGGGCCCCGGGATTAAATTCGTCGGTATATCCCCCTGATTTATACACCTGGGTGGAGAGAGGCACTGTGAGCATAAAGTGTCCTGCCCAAGAACACAACACAATGTGTTCTTGATCCGGACAGGAGCGCACTAACCACAAGGCCACCGCGCCTCCACGCACGTTAATATGAATAACTTAACGAAAAACTGAGAAAAGAAAAATGAATTAAAAATGAATCCCAATGAAATGACCCAAAGGATCCTCATCGTTTTGAATGGATTGGTAATGACTAAAAGGAAGAAAATCGAACTAAAACATTGTGTCGACTCTAAGAACATATCCGAAGGAGAACAAATCGAGCCAGACTTAAGTAAAAACCTCAGTACAAAAAAACACACCCACACACCGATAAAACTGATAACTGAACTCCCTCTTTCTGTTTACGCTCACACTGTCATAAGCCAGGCCAATTTTCACGACCCAAGTAAAAACCTACAGTGCAAAAAACACCGATAAAACTAATGAACTGCTACTCTCTCTTTATAAAAGCGCAGGTTTCATAAGCCAAAGTAAAAACATATAGCGATAAAACCAGTAAAATCCCTCTTTCTCATTGAGGTGATTTGATTTCCATGAACCAAGTAAAACAACGTAAGAACTTTTTGTCCCTCCTGTGGATTTGAACCAATAATTGATCTGCACGTAGAGAGTCAGAGACAAGTAAAACAGAATTTTGCATTTGTAACTTTGCTTGTCTTTCTTTCCCTCCTACTTCTGTCAGGTTTCCGAAAAAGGCCATTTAAATTGAGGAATGGAAGATACTGTCGCGCGTAATCCAAGAGACCAGGCAGGTTTTCTCTCGCTGTTGACTGCCTCCTGGATAAACGATGTTCTGAAACTCGGAAGCAAACAACCATTAGAGGAGAAACATTTGTTGGCAGTAGAAACTTCATACCAAGCAGAAAGGTTGGTGGCTGACTTGGAGAGGGAATGGCTGGCAGAGGAAAGAGTGTCTGAACAGAACCGAACTAAGCCTCGCCTGTGGAGGGCCATGATGAGAGTTATTCCCCGCAGAGACTATATCACTGTAGCATTTCTCAGGCTATTTCATTCTATAGCATTTAATATTTTTCCTTTGATTGTGTGGTTCTTCTTGAAAAGCATTTCTACTTCTACAGAAATCAGTTACAAGACAACGCTGCCAATCATCATTGGTATTGCTCTCGTTACCTTTATAAGAACTGTATGCTCAAATCATGGAATATTCAAGATGGATATAATATCGACCAAACTGAAAGTAGGGATGACTGGACTAGTGTATAAAAAGGCAAGTAATTTTCATCAGGAATCGGACACTAATGAGGCGTAACACAAAAGGAAAAGCTATCATTTGCACATGACATGTTAATTTCTTAACTTCAGATATTATCCTTTTTTTAACAATCCTCAAGCACCAAATATGATGTCTACTTAATAAGAAAGTATTCGTTGTAACGTATTTCGAAAACAGTGCTTTGTTGTTGATTGGCGTGAGGGACTGGTTCTGAGCATGTGGACAGAAATGCAAACTGTCGCCTACGCTATGTTAAGGAGCTTTAGCAAACCAAGACGACGACGGCAACGGGAACGTCACCAAACAAAATGTTTAATGAGCAAAACAATAGCCGTGCTCGTGCGTTAAAAATCTTTGTACATTTCTTTGCGATCCTCTGTAAAACAAGAACGTGATATGACCAGGTTCTGCGTAGTCTGTGGAACGCGAACGACGAAGNTAATAAGAAAGTATTCGTTGTAACTTATTTCGAAAACAGTGCTTTGTTGTTGATTGGCGTGAGGGACTGGTTCTGAGCATGTGGACAGAAATGCAAGTTGTCGCCTAGCTATGTAAGGGAATTTAAGCAAACCACGACGACGAAGGGAACGGGACCATCACCAAACGAAAGGTTTAATGAGCAAAACAATAGCCGTGCACGTGCGTTATAAATCTTTGTACATTTCTTTGCGGTCCTCTGTAAAACAAGAACGTGATATGACCAGGTTTTGCGTAGTCTGGGGAACGCGAATGACGAAGGCTATGATCAGCTTAGAGTGGTATTTACTTGGTTTTGCATTACCACGGTAAGCAATTGGCTTCAAAATACTGGCACCACTTTGTCATCCAATCAGAAGTAAAACTGAAACTAATCGCAACTCGCTCGCAAACGTTTTCTCGCGCTTTGCGTCGGCTACATGTATTTGCTTTGGTTTTTGATTGGTTCACTGGCTTGTCTGTGCCATTTGTGATTGGTCAGAGTAATAACTTTGGTTTTCGTCTGACGAGACTCAATCGAAAACTGCAGCATGCTCTGATTATATAATAAAACATAGTGTATTTTCCTTTTTTCCAGATTCTTACCTTAAATCGAAGCACTTTAGAAGACACCATTTCAGAAAATACGATCAATCTTGTTTCTAACGATGCTCAAGCCATTGAGAAAATGGGTTATGCCATTTTTTTACTTCCATTTGTTCCACTGGACATTGTTGCTTCCATGGTTCTTGTTTGGTACTTAGTTGCATGGCAAGCCTTAATAGGAGCGTCTTTCTTCCTTCTTGTTGTTGCCTATGGATCATTTGCAGCTCATAAGGCTGGTAAGGTACGCCACCAATCAGCTGCAGTGACCGACAAACGATTGGAGATAATGAAAGAGATCATTACAGGAATCCGCGTGGTTAAGATGTACGCCTGGGAATGGAACTTCAGAGACCTTGTTGCCCAAATAAGAAGGTTGGTATCTAATATATTGGTGTCTTTCCAATCATTTAGGCTACACGCCCGCCAATAGTCGTTTACCATCTTTGAACGAATAGTCAACGTGGCTCATCCGAGTTTTCTATCGCTTATTAAAAACAACAGCAACTGGCATTGTTGTTACACAGAAAATATCCGAAACCAAGTGAACGATTTTAGCATTTTTGAGCCTTTAAGTCGAGCATAGTGGACTATCAGCAATTAGTGTCACCCAACTAGTGGACTAATGCAAATCCTGCATTCTAATTGGCTACGCTACTCGAGGACTATTAGTTCGCCTCATGGGCTATTGACCCGTAGGCCGCAAGGGCTACGGATCTAATTGTTAATTAGTAGATTTCTACTTGAACACTAAAGCAAATGCTGCAATCTGATTGGCTGAGCCATCGCACACTATCAGCCATTACAGTTCACGACTAAATTTTCTCCGATTCTTATTGGTTTAAATGGTGTACGGAGAGACACTATCAGCCGATAGTGCCCGTCCGAGGAAAATACCCAGATGGATAGTACTCGTCCGTGAGAGATTTTCTGTAAACAGGCGAGCTTATAAAAAAATAAACAAATGAAATTGTATTAAGTGGGTCTTGTTTATTTCCCTTTTTAAATTTTACATTTGGCATTCACGGTTTAATCTAAAAAAGTTGAAAATAATTCGATATGATTTTTGAACTGGAGAGCGGAAGAAAATTTAGTAGTGAACAATAAAGACAATAGATTGTTTATGTCTCGGAACTATCGCTCTGATAGTCGCCCCTTGGAAGTTTGACTAGCATATTTACCCTCGAAGCTTCGCTTCTCGGGCAAATATTTGTTTTAAGACCATCAAATTTCCGCGAGGCAACCAGCAGCCGATAGTTCCTCGACAGAAACACTCTATTGTTTAATTAGTGTTCAGTGGCTTGGTGTGGTCGATAAAATTTAATCGTTTTCTCGTTTCTCCGAAGTTTTGAAAGAACATTTAAAAACAAAAGGATAATTAAATTCCTGAAAAGACTGAAAAAGGACATTCACGGCTTCTGCAATTAAAAAAACTCGAATTTTTTTGAAAGAAACTGATAAGCGCGCGCACACAACTGAAAAGATCAAATTGACAATTCAGTCCGCGCGAATTCTCTAAAGCGAGAAGTTTAATATTAAGACCAGAAATATTTGGAATCATTATTCGAAGCAAATTTCAGTTAGAATTCTACTAAAACAGTTAGATTATGAGCTCGAGATTTCTATGAGGTGATAGTTGATTCGGCCTTCTGCTTCATCAACTATCA